ACATCCCTAATGTAAACACGTTGCTTGAGTGGAAGCAGAATATGAAGAGCATAGGTCTCTTAATCAAGTTACATTTTAGGAACACTAAAATGCTTTTGTGGACAGAGTTCCACTGGGAAGTGTCTGCTGTCTCTGTACATAGTAGACAGTGATAGAGGATAAGAAATTCTCTGTTCGTTGCCTTGGTGGTAATTCCCAACTCCTGATGAGTCTGAGAAGGATAGCCGTATCTGCAAAACCAACAAGGAGTCTTATGGCACCGATTCCTGATGGTCAGCCTTCCCATTTTAACTGAGAGTAGTTTACTATCCATGAGGCCAAAGCCTATAATAACAAAGCTTAAAAGGTCAGTAGCAATAGAAATAGACTAAAGAAATTAATAAACTTTAGAAAATACCCAGATTTGGCAGACTGTTTCACACCCTTATAACTTGCAAGTCCAAACAGTTGACTTAGTGAGGATCATTTAGGTGTTTTCCATAGATATGACGCTACTAAGGTGACCTTCATTTCATTATATAATTTTAAATTTCCTATCTTTAAGATTCTCTTTTATGGAAAGAATTTTAGAAAATAAAAATGAGGGGACACTAAATGTGTGTGAAATGGCTGTAACTTTGGGGTTAAAATGAGAACAATATCTCTTGTTACGTAGGACAGTGTTTCTCAACCTTTTTGTATAAAGCACTCCTTTAAAAAAAGTTATACATACCTCCAGTCCCTTCAGTTTTCAGACACACACACAATTTATCTACCATTGCAACACATTTGTTTTAACAACGCAATCGTAGCCAGGTGGGCAATGACATTTCTGGGTGTAAAAAGTACAAAAATAATAAAGCGCTATAAATATTAAAACAAATTCAGTTTTCTCCAAATTTCAGTTGTGTTAACATATCCTCCTCCTCCACCCCGACTTCTCTTGAATACCCCTAAGGGTACTCGTACCACTGGTTGAGAAATACTGCTGTAGGACAACTGAGAGGCACGTCTGGTTGTATGATCAGCAAGTGGTAGAAAGTCAGTGATTGAGAAGTACTGCTGCTTTGAACATGTGATTTTTTTTTAAACTTAAAAAATAAATTTACAGAAAGAAAAATAAGTTCAGATTGAACCAAATTGTTTAGAATTCTTGGTGAATCAGAAAAAGCCGGAAAATTTTATTTTGGATTAAATAAAATGTTTCATTTGATTCAAAAAGAAATGTTTTGAAATGAGGCATTTTTAACGTTTTGACATTTTGAAATAAAACAAAGGAAATGAAGGGCTAGATTCACAAAAGCAAATATGGCCTTCCCCTCCTTCTCCACTTCCTGTTCTAAATTGTTGTTTGATGTTGAATTTTGATGAGTGGGTGGGAGGAGGATGGTGAATTGATTCTGATACAGTGATTTTTAAATCAGACTTGACTCCTGCAGGATTAAAAGGCATCACAGCACACTGATATGAAAGCCTCTATAATTACTGAATGATAAAGTAGTGTGAAGTTACACATTTTAATGTGTCTGAATATGAAGAAACAAATCAGTAGAGCTACAGTGTGTGCTGCCCACCTTGTTCAGTTACCCCTGCTGTCTCTTATAATTAACTGGAACTCGGACATCTGGAATTTCAAATCACTCCTCCACAAAGAAACAGCTGAGCCTTACTCTAAGCAGGCAGATTCTGCTGAAGCTAATATTTTTCAATTGAAGATAATCCTTTAAGATAACAGTGTGGTTACAGCCTGTAACAGACTTTGAGCCAAGAAGATCCCACTCCTTGTGCCAAGGAGTTGCAGTTGCAACAACATGTTGTTGTTTTTTTCCAATAGGTTAGGGACCGAGTGCGGGAGAGTTATTAAGGACAGGGGACTCAATCTTTGGAGTAGTATGCTATAGAGAAGTGGGTAGAGGGCTGGGAACCTTTTTTTTTTTTTTAAGTTTAATGCTGGCTCTAACACTGTTGTGGTCTTGTACAAGTTATTACAACTGAAGTTCCAGTAATTGAAATACAGCAATTTAATCTACCCATGTGGAGGCAATACCTTCTTTTTCCCCAATGTAAAAAGCAATCTGCATAGATCAAATTGTATGGTCAAGGGCTTAGAATGTAATCTGTTGATACAGTGATTGTCTTTAGTTGTCTATTGTGGCTCTTTCACAAATAGTTGGGAACAATCATCACAACTCTATGCCTCAGTTCCCTTATCTGTAAAATGGGGATAATTATATTTGTGAGAGTAAAACAAATATAGAGCTTTGAACACACAAAATGTACACATGCACATTATGCCACTATTAGTCCGTGCAGGCAAACAGGCACCTACCAATGACTATGCCCATGATGTTTTTAAAAGCTGCCACTTATGACAGTTAATTTACAGAAGTAAATTCCTTTATGCATTTCATTCCAGTAACATGCTTCAAACTTGATAACAACTTAAAATCAACACCACCCCACCACGCTGTAAGTGCAAAGCTATGAAAAAAATACATAGGGAAGTTTTTGCATGTTTGGCTCGCAGTAAGCACTGGCTGAATGTTATGGAACGGTTTTCACAAGTGATGTGTGTGTTGGTAGACATAAGAATTGTATGATAATCATCAGTTCTCGGGGCACTGGAGGAGAACATTTTAAAAGTCTGAAGGAAGCGGTGCTAGGATGTTTCACACGGCTTAACTTTGTGGGCAAGAGTCAAGCATGCACGCTGTTTTTTAAGCTAACCTCTGCTAACATGTTTCAAAGGTGAGTGCCTATAGCCCTTAAGCGGGGAAGGAAGCAGATTTAGGGGCTTGCTTTGCAAAGCCTGGGCGCTAACTACGCGGGTTGTGTTGGGCATTAAGCCAGGCAGTCCTGTTTTCCTAGGGTTTGCTCCAGTGAAGCCGGCCTCAGACGGGGGACGCCCCTTGGAAGGCTTCACCTCCCTGCCCCTACCCCTGTGACGGGGTGGGGGATAGGGCGGGGTCTCGCCCCCGCCCTCCAAGCAGCATGACGTGGCACGCACCCGCGCATGGGAGGTCCCACCTGTAGCCTGAACCGCCGTGCCTCCGTTTCCCC